TACAAGTTACATTTTTGCAGCTGCTACCATTCTTTCGCATTATTGCTTTCCTTTCATATTATGATCTGTCATTTTTGGTGCAATTTACTTGATTTTGTTCAACAATAACTAATGAGGGAGAAGGGGAAAGTAGTACAGCATTACTTACAGTTTGTTTTGGCTATTTATTCCTCAAGAAGTTACGTTTTCTGATTATTTAGATGACATTGAAATACCAAAGACTTTTAAGTTGGTAAAAAATTAGTCTGTCTACATTGGCCAAATGAAAACAGAGAACCACAAAGCACCTTTTGAAGCAGAACTGATGTGTCTGATCACATGTCCAGCCACCAGTGAAAACACCCTGTTCCCCCAAAGAATTCCTGGTCATTAAAATTAATGACTGAAAAGCTAATCAACATCCACTTATAGTAAGCTGGAAAAGCTCTATTATCTATAAATATCAGACATGATATTAGGGATAATAAGGTATTTCAGGAAAAAAAATTATTAGAATGGTTTCTTAAATAGATCTAATAAAAGGCCAAAGTAAATTTATACTTATCTGTGGGAAAGCAAGGGAAACTGTCAGATGAGAAAAACCCTGTCCAGAAACTAGAAAGGTTATTCCTTTCTCTCCTTAATTTCTAATTCAATGTGATTGGACTTGAAATACAAGGGACAGCCAGGGATGCTAAGCAGGGAAGTGGTACATATGGGCAGAGATAGAAGGATGTATCTAGATGGATAAAGCTGAGGCTCACAGCTAACATTCACCGCTCCCAAACTTTTACAAATCATAAAATCTTGACAGAAGCTTCCTTGCAGGTGCTGAGCTCACTAGGCCTACTCCAGGTCATGCTGGCAAGCTCTGCAGTGTGGAGACAGTGAGAGCAGAGCAGGCTGGCAGCATGACACTTCAAAGAAATTGAGATGGGTCAGTCGTGAATAATCTGCTCTTAAGAGATCTCAAAAAGGAACTGGGCCTTTGATTTCAGAGCCTGTAATAGCTACAGCCAGAGAGTGAGACTTTCAGCCAGTATTGGGCAGGATTTTTTAATAAACATGTCTGGAAACAGTAAGCATATGTGATGCTTCCATGTTTTATAACTGCTATGAAAAAGAAAGAAAGAATTAAGTTGCTGAGAATACTTTGGACATGATTTAACTTGTCCATTACATGAGAAACCAATACTTTTGCCTGATAAAGAGCCAGGGGTATTGAACAGGCCATGACCTGTTCTCTGCAGGAAGTTACTAACGTGTGACAGCAAAGCAGAAATCTTGATGTGCGACAGCAAGACACAGCCATTTTGGAGCATGCTTGTGGCTCAAAAGCATCACTCTCAAATTCTTCTAACAAAGCAAAGTTAAACTCCAGGTGGGTTTGGGTTTTTTGCAAGAATTGAAAAATAAGCCCATACCTTCAGCAACTCACCAAATCTTCCACTTGAACAGCTCCAGAACTGCACTGTATTTTAACACGGTCCAGGCTTTCTGTTGAGCCTCTGCAGTCTGCTAAAATATTCAGACAGTGCTTTGGCAAAATGTTTGTTTCAATTTGTATCCTAGCACAGCTTCTTTTCTAGACCTTCAGGGAAAGGATAATTCCGAAGAAGCATTGATTAAGCAGGATGAACTGCACCACACAAAGCTTCAATTCAAAAAGCCTGCTGTCTTTCAACATGAGTTGCCAATATTATTTATCTTACTGCCCTGTTCAGAATTCCATATAGCAGCATGAATTATAGTAAAATCTTGACATACAGCAAAGACTGCTCAGATAAATTGCACAGCAAACTAGAATTTCTTACACTAATTCTTGTCATGGAGGTATGCACAGCCCTGCAAGCCAAGCAAAAAGAATTGGAAGTCTAATGGCAGAGTTTGCCCAGACTACACATTTTACTTATTCCTGGATTGAACAAGGGCCCCAGGATGGCTGTAAAGTAACATGCCTGGCTGAAACCTAGCAGCTGTTGCCAGCTTCTCATTCTGTAGATACCTTCCTACAGAATTCTCTCTTATACATTTCAAGCAGACAGCATCCTCAAGTTTCACTTTAACTAAACAACATTAAAAGGCAATTTCCTACCTCCCCCCTCAGAAGTCTTCAATTAAAACTATTATTTAGAATGCTTCTGCTATAGCTAATAAATTTAGCAGCAGTGAGCTTACAGAACAACCACCTCTATAACCCAAGTTCCAGAAAGAATATACAAAGTTCTAAGAAAATAAATTGCCAGTCAGACTGCTCTAATTGATCCAAGCAAGGCAAGTTCTCTGTAGAAAAAATGCATCCAGGAAATGCATAAGTAGTTTCCATAACATGATGGATTCAGATTGTGCTTTCTTGACTTAACATTGAATATAAAACTTGGCATAGTTGTGTGAAGAATCCCAAAATTTCACACAGATTAACAAACCAATTTCATATAACAATTTGCAATTTTTTACATCTACAGTATGACTGAGAAAGGCATCAAATCTCTGAAATGAAAAATGGGATATAAAGTGTAAGCAGATATGAAAGAATCTATGCAGCTACACACTTCTGTGCACAAGTCACAAGAAGCTGGGAGTATGTAATGGTACTGCCCAACAAGAACTTCTGTTTGACAAGGATCATTAAAGTAGGCACTGCTGCTTCATCTTCTATTAAAAGACAGAGTTTGGCTTGCAGCAATTGGTTTGATTTTAAACCAGTGCATGTTATTTCCTATAGAAGGAAATAAAAATCCAATAATGAGATTCCAATAAAAACAAAGTGACTATGTGAAAAAGGAAAATCTCAGTTAGCACTAATCACTATAGCTGCAGCAACTATAGTGGAGCTGTGCTAACATACACCAACCTAACCACTCCCACAGAATTCCCACCTCACCAAGATCCCAGTTCTGGTTCTGTTTAGACCAACAGTTGCACCATAATGCATCAAAACAGAAATTTTAAAAGAAACTTTATCCTTTATTTAAACTAAATCTGGAAGCAGGAACTATAGTATTGCCTAGTTAGTAAGTAAAAACATTTTAGACCAAAGAAAAGTTACTCTTAACTTTTTCTCCTTAAAAAGTTATTTCTGCTTCCCTTTGACTAGAGCTTATTCCCCACATTTCACCAGGCTATGTTCAAAGTGTTTTTCCATTAACTGCTTTTAAGATTATTTTGCAGTTCATTCTTTAAGTTTTTAATAGTTTCAGAATTTTTATTGGTCTCCTTTTCATGTTTTTTCCCAAGGCAAAAGAATGGACAATTTCCCTTTTATGCCATTCTTAGTGATACGTTGAAAGAATTCCAGCTGAATTACATTCCTAATTTGTCTCTACCAGGCTTAATTACTGTTTAAGACAGTAGTGTAAATTATATACATGCTGGAAAAAAGCAAATATATCAAAACCCACTGGAAGTATGGTGAGGAAAAGGGGGGCAGCACTGCATGCTAGAATATTGGTTTGGTCTATACAACCCAATCCCAACATTATCAAAATATAATCCTCCAATAACTTCGGTTATTACAAATCACTACCCTAAAATGTGCTACAAAATATTTCTGTAACACATTCAAAATATGCACATAATGCAGTAATTGAAAACTATTATGTAACAGTAAATTACAATGAAGCAACTGTCAACCAATCCATTCAGCACAGCACAGAAAAGAAAGACTAAATCAAGCCTCAAAGTTTACGAAAATCCTTCCTCCTAATTATTTTCTATGTGCTTTTTCATATACTGAGGATGTCTATAAGAAAACAGCAGGAAAATATATTTAACTACATTTATTAATTTGTCACTTCTTTCTCATGAACACAAGTCAAGGGGTGATGATCAGGACTAGAAAAATCATCTTAAGATACTCTATAGTAGATATCAGTGAAAACCCTGGGAAAGCCTTGTGACCTTCCCACAGAACTGGAAAAGAAGATTGTTTTCCATTCTTTGAACAACTCCTCCTTGGTTAGTTACAGACCACAAAAACTGGAGTTTTCGTCCATGATTAGAAAAACACTGGCAGACATATGGGCTAGAAGAGTCGCCTGACTACAGGTTCATGCTTTGGGTGGCAAGGAATGTCTTAGTCAGATGGGCACATGCATTTCTGATTTCTGCCAGAGGAGATACAAAGCACTGTAATGAGAACCCCACCCCCATATTGCCTTTACCAGCATTAATTTTAAGACTGAAAGCATTATTATGCGATTGAACAAGGAATGTGAACTAGATGAGCTCTTATGGTTCTTTGCAGTCCAATTTCTTTTGCTAATTAAAAATAACAGAGTGTGAAGCATAGCATTTTTATTCCTTTTATCATCAATACATTTAGTAAACATGAAAGCAAACACATTGGTATACAAACCTTTAAAAAACAAAAACAAACCCACCACTCTAAAGGACTCTTTTATTAATTATAATTTATCTTTATATGTTAATGAGAACACAGCACTAAATAAAGGGGAGAAAAGTTCAAGCAATACAACATCTGAAAATACTGTGTTACTTTATTCTATATTGTTGGATGTTATTTGTGCAATAAATATTACTATCAAAGGTCTAATTCTGCCTTCTAACTGTAGAACAAGTTTGACCTAACACAGAAAGAAATCCAGGCTGATGCCTTGAGACCAGAAAGGGCATCTTACGGTTACTGAACCCAGACACCGGCCAGTGCAGTCATTTAATCTTACTGATAAACTTAGCCAGGCTTGTTTTAAAATCTGACTGATTTCTTTGTGATAAGCAATGACCAAAGACGCACCTTAGAGCTGCAGTTTTGTCATTTAAACCCAAAGTCTATGTTTTACATAAGCCAGCGTACTTCCTAGTTTTATTTTTCCCTCTAGAACACGAGGATGCAGCCATGCTGAACTGCCTCTCAAAAGCGAAATATTTCAAGCAGTTGTCAAATGCACCGCAACACTGTTTCAAAGCTCTTAACAGAGGAACAGTTGGCACTCAACAACTCTCAGCTCAAGAAAACAATGTAATAAATCTTGTGGAAATAAATAAAAGTGTTTACATACCTTTCCTTAGCTGCAAATGGATCTATAGTTTTCCAAGGGTACTTCAGTGACGAGTTTCCTGACACAGTTCAGATCTCTTGAATACCATGGTCATGCAAAAAGAACCATTTCTCATCTACAGGCACTATCAGCAAGAAACAAAATAAAACCAAATAGCGTAGCTCAGAGAAATCGCTCTAAAATTCACACTGACATGCAAAGCTGCCAGCCCCACACAACCACCCTGCCCACCTAATTACATTCAGCTGCTTGTCATGTGGTCTTGCTGACGGATCAAGTGATCTCTTTTCCTCCTTCTAAAACTAAGCAACATAGTTAACTAGATCTCCCTAGACCAGGTAACAAACATAAAGTTTGTGCTTAAACTGCTGACCCTCCTTATTGTGATAGGAAGTGGAAGTTGCCATATGTTTCATTAAAGAAAAAAAAAAAACAACATCAACAAACAAAACAAAACAAACCACAGCAAACACAGTAGTCTACTGTAACAAAACTCTGTGAGCAACAAACACTCCCAAAATCTAATGGAGAATTTCAGTCTTCAGCCTGGATTTATTTTAAACCTTTAGAGATAGCAGAAAAAACTTAGTAATAACAAAATTGGAACAGATATCAGAGTGAGACCACATGAGGATTTGTTAGGGCAGTGGCAGCAGCAATACCTGGGGCTTTGTGGGCAACCACATCCAGCCCCTTCTACTGAACCACTTCTAATGGCAACATGCTCCAAGAAAAGACCAGAGTTAGGATGTTGCTAAAAACTTTCTGAACAACTGCAGCTAAATCTGCAAGCTTCCCCCAGCCCAGTCCTGAGACACATGCAGACATTTTAAACATGTCAATATTTTCAAGGAAGTAAAGTCACAGATTTAACACGTAAACCAACTTTTTCTCAACAAGTCCGTTCATTAGGACTTGCTAAGCCAGGCACCCCACAGGCAGGATTCATGTGCCCAGCCAGGGTACAGCGTTGGTGCCTGCACCAAGGCCTTTGCTGGAGGGAGGTCCCTGTGCTGGGTCCAAGGATGAGAGAGGAACTACACAGCCACCTGCAGTCACCACGAGGACTCTCCCCCCTCTCACACTGTTCTTGTCATTAGAGATGCCGACAGTAAAGGACAAAAAGGTGTGAACAAAGCAAGTTTTGCATGTAAGATTAAGCAGATGTGAGCTTTTACAGAAGGTGGGTCACCTTGCACAACCCTTTCTAGTCTCAGTTTCTTTCTTCACAGTGTTTCAAGAGCAGAGAAGAAAGGAAAGCAAGAAGGTTTCTATGACTGCTCTTCAGTCCTGTAATTTAAGAAGTGATGCAGACAGCATGCTACAACATTTAACATATCCTTACTGTATTTGTCTACCAGTAATGAAGACAATTCCACAAGCTCCTTCATTTACTTGTTCAGTGTTCAACTACCTTGCCTCCTTTCCTGTGAATCAAGGCAATTTTTATTGCCTGTTCTCCAGTGAACAACTAAATTCTGTTACACATTGCTGACAAAAAATTGTGATGGAACACTTTATCATGCCTTGCCTTAGCATTTTTCCAGGTTTAACTAAAATCCACTTAAAATTTTGTTACAGGTTATAATTTTAAAACTACCCATTCTTGGCTCATTCCAATCTTTTATACATTTCACTAGTGTAGAAGAAGTCTCTTATTTGCTCCCATATGGAATAAAAACATTTGTGTTCCATCTACAGCAACATTAACATTTTTAATAACTGCTACCCTGATCAATACCAGCACATTTGTTCATTGTGAAGAAATATTCAAACCATAAACACCAGAGAATTTCTGGTAACTGCTCCAGAGTGCAGAAGGAGGAACAGCATAAGAAGTGTTGACAAAGCAACAACTCTTTTGCCATGTTGCAAACAGCCCTCAGGAGTGGCTACACATGCTGAACACAAACTGCCTGTCTGGAAGTCTCAACCAGCAATGTAAATTAAGTTCAAACTCTTCCATGCAGTCAGACTATTGCCATAATTAAGAGGAGAGCAATTAATACATAATTCCCAGGCTCCAGCTTTGGATTTCAGGATGAAATGAGGCTGCTTAACTTTCCTCTTACATACTTGGTATGAGGAATATCAACTAGTTTTCCCTTCTCCAATTCCAGGAAAAAGTTTTATCCAAAACAGTAAGACTTTGCTAAGAAGGTAGAGCTGAAATAAAGCTTCTTTTCTGAGGGTGAAGTTATATTGATTTCAAACTGCAGAATTAGGATCAAAACAGAGGACTTCAGTTTAAAAACTGGGAGGACATAAATGTTTGGTTATTTAAAGCCTCTGTTTTTAAGCAAACACATTTGCAGCTCTCAGTAAATGCTGCAGACAGCTGAGCCAACCCTCCTGTGGTGGCAGGAAGTGCATGCAAATGGTGCAGCAGCAGCTGGAACAGGAACCACTGCAGCCAGCCCAAGGTAAGCCTTCCTCTCACTGCTACCCGAATCTAAGGGGCTTAGAAGAGCTTGGACATTTTGTAAGTTTATGCAGGGGATCAACATTACACCAGTACAGTCCTGAAACTGTGAAATGTAGTTTTGAAGCTACAGCTCTACAAAGGAATGGCCACCTATTTAGTTATTAAATATCTTCTCACCATTTTTATGAACAAGTTTTATGAACAGGTTGTATGAACAAGATGACCCAAATGCATGGAATTTATGGCCTTCTTGTAAAAAGGCCTAGGAACCTAGGAGAAGTCAAACACAGTGGACAGTGTGGAGCATTCTTTAGCACAAGCATCAGAGTATTTGCCTTCATATATTCCATGCTCTTGAGAAAAGCTGCATGTGTACGGACTGTCCTGTAGCAGCTGCTTCCCCCAAAATAAAATGCTGGATTGTTACCTGTCTGACCATGGTGCTTGCAGGCATTAAGGCATCTGCCACTGGAGAAACAAACAGGGGAAGAAGAGGATGTAGCAACAGTCCATTTCAGATAATGCCACAGAACAACTCACCTCCATTTTCAAAGCCAAACGGCGTGAACTTGCCTAACAACAGTGTCAACCACCTCCACTCTCCCCAGTCCCCAGTAACCCAGTTCAGTTACCCCTCTGTTGGAGCTCTCCTATTCATATACCTCTGAGCAGGTCATGTTTTTTTCCAACATACAACAAAAACTCACCAGGCCCATAGCAACAGCCATCATTTTCACATATGCATTCAAAAAATGACCTGCAAGACTATGGAATGAAAACCAACCAGCAGACAGCCAAGGTTAATGTTACTTGTCAGCATCCACAAATCTTATCTGTGCCACAAAACCTTTACTGGCAATCAAAGAGGAAACTTAAAAAAGGAAAGAGGGAAAAGCAGCCACTGGGACACACTGAACTGATTTGCATATATGGTGGAAAATTCCAAGAAAAGCCAAAGCACGTGCTGTACAGCAATCAGTGAGAGAAATACCCTACAAAATGCAAAAATAATAGGTGTGAAAAAACTAAATACTAAAAATGCGAACATATTAATTGGCATGGGCAGATTCCCACAACTGTACAAGAGAATTATAGGTTTTTTCCTTAGAAGAAAGTAATCACAAAAAGAGACTCAGGAAAAAATTAGATGGGCTGATGGGATGAGCTGCAAGGGAAAATTAGCCAGCTGCCATGGGAAAGAGCTTGCTACTTACTGCCACAGCAGTCCATAAATGCGGTGACATAACCTCAACACAGAATCAAAAAGACCCGAAAGGAAGAGACAAAATCCTCTATATTGATTTTTTTCTACTTTCCTCTCACCAATATCCCTCCAAGTAAAAAAAGAAGGAAAAGCCAACTCATACTCAGAAGACTGGCTTTCACACCAGAAATGTAATAGCTGAACCTTGCCAGCATCAAATCATGAAATACCACTTCAGTGATTAAAATGAAAGTAGGTCAGGGCAGGCCTTCCTGCTACTGAAAAGGCATGTCTGCTAAACATTTAGTAATACTATAAATAAAAGTAAAACTTTCATGTTTTGTTCTTTGAACTATAAGCCAATATAGGCGGTTTCCAGCAATAGTGACAAAGATAAAGTATTGGTATGTTTAAAGTCAGTAGTGTTTTACACAGAAAAAAGTTTCTTAAAAATAGTCCCCTCCAAAAGAAGCTCTAAATTAACTTGTAAGAGCTACCAGCTCTCTTCAACTATTAAAAAAGTTAACACCAACGTAACTGGCAAATTAAAAGCACTGATTTTGTTTTCATGGAACATCACAGTGCTCCAAGACAAATTCTTCCCAACAACTGGGCAGTCACCATCAGCACCTGGAAAAACTTTAGACTGAACCCTGTCATCTTTTTCACAGGAAAAACAACAAAAGACAGCTTCCCCAAATAAAACTTACTTTTTTGAAGAAGCTGTTAGTATCTCAGAAAAGACTAGTAAAATTATCCCAAACAAACAGAAAGAATTGGTTTGTCAGTTCTGTTGAACTATAAGTTTACTGCCTTCACATCACTCTCTGTTAATGACAGTGTAGGCACAGTTTATCCTTATGCAAGGCCAGGAATGCAGGTGCTTGCCCAGTTTTGAATAAAAAGGCAAAGAAAAAAAAAATAATTCCTGAATCAGGTTCTCTTTCTCTTATTAAAGCTCTGAAATATCCGAAAGGAAATAATAGGAAAAAAACCACAGTATCCCCATACGAGGTGCTAAGAGACCAAGAAACCGGGAATAAAAATTTCTGTATTTAAAACTGCAATAAAATGTTCTAGTGTAAGAATGAACATTATTCATCAAATTAACAAATTTGGTCCTTTTGCATGTAAGAAAGGGTATTTTGGCAACATTTACCCTATTCAAATTACATTACCTGTATTTGAAAGAGGAATATTTAACCTAAAGATGGATGAATTATTCAAGATGCTGTATCTCTTCTGGAAGACTTATGCTGGTTGCACATTTTCTGAAACAGCTGCACATTCTGAATGCACAAAGAGAGCATGTAAAACAGCAATGCATGCAGATAGAAATGTCCCTGCATTTTGGTCAGAAGCTGTAAAAGCATGCTAATAATCTCATGTCTCTATCTTCAGTCTGAAGAGTTACAAATCTAATTATAGATCAATGATCTTTATGTATTAAAAATGTTGATGACTGAGTGTATTTTTTTCATTAAAAATATAGTAGCTTTGCAGGAAGCTGCTGCACCAATGTAAAGCAACATGTGCACTACAGCTTCCTTAGAAAGGATTTTCAGTTTTTTTACACTATAATATTAATACAGTTTTCAAAGTTGCCTTGATATTTTTTATTCATGGTTAAGATTAACGGACATACATTTGTTCTCTGCACTCCCTGATCCAATATGTCATTGCCAAGTAAAAGACACTGCTTTTTAAAACAGATCTCAGCGGAGTTCCAATTTGGACACAGATGGGTTTTCTTCCCAGCATAAGGAGACCCTGTTCACATCTTTTGTAAATTTACTTATGAGGACAAGTGGTCCTTCATTCTCCTAAGCTGACAATCTTGTCTTTTACACTTTGAATTTGCTCTCAGAAGGAAAGATTGAAAAGCCACTTATTTGCACTGTTTGACAGATACAGAAGTATGCCTCTTCTGAGCCTCAACAAAGTGTTCCTTGTGTCCTATAGTATTGTTTGATCTCCCATGCAACAAAGCATATAAAACCTAACTGAACACCAGTGATGCCTATTTTTCTCCTCTACTATTTCTTAAACTATAAACATCATTAACATTAGAGCTCCTTCATTTTCACAATTATTCAGTGACTCTCTTAAGTTAAGTACAACTAACCTGACCGGTTGGTCTTACTTCCTTCAGAGTGTGCAAGAGGAATGGGTGGGCTTGTAAAGGTGGTGATTCTGGAGTAGCTGTTTCAGTTCCATCAACCCTGTTTCACTCCTGGTGTGACTCCCAATTACAAAAAATGTTACTGCTCCCATTCCTCATGATCTCTCAAGATGCTGGGTGGAAGAAAAATTCCCTAAGGCTCAACACACTACACTTGAGGTTGTGAATGCAGTAAGGATTCTTGGAGCACATCTCCAAATTTGCAATGCAAAAAACAAAGCTGAAATGAAGACATGCCTCTTAGCCTGTCTTCCCAAGGGAACATAGCTTGCTAGAGAGAGGGGCAGAGATATTGAACTTCTGTCATTTCTCCCCTCTGCCCCAGCATTAGAATCTGTTGATCAGTTTTAACGTTCCTTCACAGAGGGGAAGAAGACACAAAGATATGAAGTTCCTATATGCTTTGTGAAAAATTGGCATCTGGATAAAGGAGAGTCAGATGCAAACCTCCACAGAGATCTGGCAGTTACAGTTTTTCAGTTCTATAAGGGGCATCCACCAGCTGCCCAAGTTGTATACACATTTCTCCAGATCAGCTGCCACACATACTGTGACAATCGTTCAATTTTACATTTACTTTCAATTTGAATTTAAAGACATTTTCTAGTAAAAAGCAAATTAAATTTAAGCACATCTATTATTAAAAACAAAAAGTTAACAGAATAAAAACTAGTTGAGTTGCACTGTATTAGCAGTTCAAATTTTGGGGGTTTTTGTGTTTTGTTTTGTTTTTTTTTTGTTTTAATCTACTAGAAAAGATTGTTCTACTCATGCAACATTGTTTTCAAAGTTCTTTCAAAGCCTCCACTTTGCCTTTCTTCTGCTCACATGCAGCAGGATCTCATGTCCATCCTGTGCACTGGGTGCCATATCCAAACAGTCTTAGAGAACTGTCAAATAAAGATTTATAGTCACCTCTTCTACTTCATAGCTAAATAACATTTAATAAACTCATTTATTTAACTCCAACTTAGGGCCGCATTTATCCAAAATAAAATTATGGGAGCTTTGCTCTCAAATCCAAAAGAAATACAATCAAACTCAGACAGTGCTGTCTTCAAACTTGGATGACATCATCCCTGCACAGAGATGTCTATCCAGACACCACTGTATTGCAGGAAAGAATATGGAAAAATTAAGTATAGCCAGACAGTTCATGCCCCAGCAAAAAAGACCCGTCAAGTTGAATCATTGCCAGGGGAGAAAGTCAGTGGAGCATGTGGGTTATGTGCACAGGGTCTTAAAGGAGTGGGATGAGAAACACTTTGTTGCAAAGGGATGATACCAGCAGGGCTACAATTTAACCCAATACCTGTAATTTGGGTCACATTCAGTCATGCATAAAGTCTGGTTTGGAACAAACGAGGGGGGAATTATGATTAATATTTGCAATTAAAAAAAAAACCAAACTATCCTACTTTATGCTATAATCCACATCATGAATGTTAGCTAGGCTTCAAAGTAGATTTGGAAAGCACCACCCCCTGGCAATAACTATAACAGCAATTAATCTCTAAAGCAAACCTTGCATAAAACAGTTTCACAGCACAAGCAAGTCCCACAGCTTCGAGTGATACCCTGAAGTTTTCAAAATGCATCACACCTACAAAACTGGCAGAAACACACAAGAAAACTAGAAAACTTGCTTTTTTATTAGGGAAAAAAAAAAAAAAATCAACTCTTATTTTCCTGCTACTCATCTTACATACTTTATATAGTCCTTATCACTACTAGCAGCCCTCAGTCTAGTACAAAACATCTCCATTCCCCAAGCATGCTATTGGAAAGAATTGTTTTCTTTCTTTTCAGTTCATAGAGCAACCTTCTTCCTCACAGCTCTTGGACTGAGCTGCCAAGGAACCAGATAAAATATCCAACAGTTATGAAAATAGTGAGGTAGGCCCTCCGAGTGAAACTTGGTTGCCTCTGAAGAGCACATGCTGTTCACTTTCACAGCTGTATTGCAGCTACCATGACAGCACTGCCATTTTTAAGCATTTCATTAGAAATGGGAGGATGCCTTTAAAACACTAGTATTTCTGCAAAAGAACCTTCATCACTTTCTAATGACATACACTGCCCTGTGGGTTAATGTTTAATAGAAATGCTATAAAAATCACCTATCAATTGTCTTCCAATTTTGTTTCATATTCTGCTGTTTCTAATTCAAACTGGAAAGCTGGTCACAAACCTGGAAGCACACCTGCCCTTTCCAACAACATAAGCTGGTCTAATAAAAAGCATTACTTCTACCTATGGAGCTCACCCTACCTGAAAGGGAAAAAAAAACCCTGAATCTGAAGTAATTCTTAACTATTATGCTATTTTTTTCTCTACCATTTTCAATGGGTAACCATACACACAAGCAGTAAGATGGCCAGCCACAAAACTGAAATCACTAACTCCCAAGTTAATCTGGAATCAACTACTTGATTTGTGTAACAGTTGTCCTTATAATCATCCTGTGCTTTATTTGCATATAAAATATTTCAGCTAGGTATACTCCTTATAGTTCTTCCATTCACATGCCTTCTTTACACGAAGAATCACTGTGGAAGTTTAGAGTGATTTTCAAAATACTACTTGCAAGAACCCATAAAGTTAACTTTTAATTTAAAAGCACTTCTCATGTATAAACCAACTCCTTTTTTCCACCGCAAACCACAAATTTCTGAAAAGATGTACTTCTCCTTCTAAGCTTGTATCTTCACTGCTGCTTCCTGCTTCTTTCCTACCTTACTACCAGCCTTCACATTGCCTTCCAGAAGTGCCTTTAGCTAGCATGGTCTAGTCTTACCCATTTCTCACAGAGAAAGTGAACAGAGAGGGAAAAAGGGTTTGCAAATTCAGGAAAATAGCACTGCATTGATTTACACTTTGATATTATCTTCAGAGCTGTAGAAGCAAGGACATTTTTTCCTTTATTTTTTTTTCCCCTGTAGTAGTTTGGTAGTTTCAAATACTGAAGAACTTGTCAGGTCAGCTCCAAATTGCTGACAAGAATGTGAAAAGAATTCCAACACCCAGCACTATGCAAAACTGTCATACAAGTATCAGAGTATTTTCAACCCCTTGAAGCCACAGCAACATCGCAGGAAAAAACTGTGCTGCTTATATGTCATATTTTCATTTATATGCCATAACTTAATCTTCAAAGCTTATTAGATTGGAAAATAAATCACAGACATTAAGACTACTGATTACAATAATCAAAAGTAAATTCTCTTGTATTATGTATGAAAACAAAATAATAAAAGGATGCTCCAGGAAACAAATTAGGGGCTAGGACTTCTCATTCACTATGGTTTTTTTTACCTTACTGGAGATAAAAGGGTATGATCTCAGCTGCTTTAATGTGGTTCAATTTAGTTGGGCCTCCTGACAGGGATGCAGTTTTCAGACTAAGATGACCAAAAAAGAAATGAGGAAATGAAATCTAATAACCAGATGCTATTTCCAGAAAAAGTCTATTTGGGAATATATTTGTATAAATAGGAAAAAAAAACAAAACAAAAAAACACCTGCGTCTGCTATCAAAATCTGCCATTTAGATAAGCATTTCTTAAACTATGCTGTACTCAGCCATGTCTGAAGTAATTTCTGTAAACATGATTGTATCTCCAGCATGAGCATGAGTGATACATGCAAGCCAAGAGGAGCCACAGCAAGTCCCTGAGCACTTGACATGCCCAGCCTAGCAAATGCTTAGCTACAACCATGTCAGTAACCCTCTGAAATTACTGAAGAACAAATTTAACTATCTGCAGGATCACACATGTGCAATAAAGCAGCTTTAACACAGAAGAGAATATTTGATTATTAACTATTTAAATTGTAATTTTAATACAATTCAAAAGCACCTGGTTATAATTATTTGCTGAGACATTAACAGGGAAGAAAAAGAGTTGTCATTTCTTACATTCCATCTCTAGTGCTGATTTTGCCTGTTTCTAAATTCAATTCTTACCAGCCCACTGCTGACTATGACAGACTGCTCTTAGTAATAGCATTGATTGGCAAGTCCAGGGTTATGCTGGGAACTGACACATTATGCCAGAACAGCAGATACCTGATAGTAACAGTGCAAGCAAGAATCTAAAGAAGACACACAAGGATTAATGTTCATAATACTCATTTCTGTAAATGCCAGAAGCTACTTACAAATTATTCTATCTCAACAATCGTCTCTTAGAAAGAAGAGGAAATGTGTAGTCAAGTGATAAAATAACGTGTTGCTATGTTTGACAGTGGTGAAAACAAACTCACACTTCAGTTTTAGATATCTGGTTGCAGATGAGAAATTTTATTAACTGTAAAAATAAAATAGTGTAAGTTGTAGCACATTTCCCTCACCCTGAACTCCTCTGCAAGAGACTAAGCAGAGGTAAAGTTAGAACCCTGAACTAGAAACACAGGAACATGTTGTCCTTTTGTCCATCCTTTAACCATGTTTTTGAGACACTCACTTAGCATCACAAATACTATTCCTATAATTATGTATCAACATTTGAAACGCATATGGCATTATATACTTTTCCCTGGCTGGAAAGTACTTGGAACACTCACAAAAGTAGTATAAGTCTATAAAAAGAAACAAGGGCTGAGAAGACAAGTTTCTGTAAGAATAAGTTTCAAAGAAAAGGCATGCAGAATAGATTTTAGAAACAGATTAGTGCTGCTAATGCATTTTACACATCAAAATCAATTAACTTTTTGTAGAGTTTCAATAAAAAGTAGAAAGAAACATCATCTTGTTAAAAACACCTAGCAGAACTCCTAACTCCAAATGTGTTATCCTGATGAAAAACTCATAAACAATAATTAGGGAAAGTGTTTGAGGAGTCATACGATCAGAAAGTTCAAAATACAACTGATGCATCTCCAAGGAAAGATAAAAATTAAAGTTGGGTGGATTTAACAGTTCTAAGCATGCCCCTTATACTTTGCTAGCACCATTAAAAAAATATGACTTAGATATTAATACAATCTCATAACTTACAGAGCTAGAAAAGCCAAGATGTTTTGCAGATGGATCTAGCTTTCTTTAGATCCAAGATCATCAAAGCGTTAGTTTAGCCCAAGCGTTGCAAATCAGGCTGAAGAGCCTTTCCTGAACGGCCTCAGCAGCCTGACACACCAGCAGGCAGCGTTCAGAGAGAAACCACAGATCCACCGATACTCAAAACACAAGATGTAAGTTCTGGCTAAACAGATAAAACGCGTTTATGTTGCTCCCTCAAGTATTCGCTATTTTGGAATGAATCTTCTTTTTAAAATCAGACACGCAACCCACTGTTTTACAAAAGAGAGGCAGGTTTTGAGCTGTGGGAAACGTGCAGGTCCTACAGCTGCTACCTGCAAAGGCCTGAGAGGGACTGTTAGTGAAGACGTGTTCGCGGCAGCAGTGGTAAAGTTAAGCACATGCGCGGGCAGCTGCTGGGCCCAGGCTTTAGGTTTTTTTCCTTTTAATCTCCCGAAGGCTCTCGTTAAAGCCTCAGGCAGCCGTGCGAGGGCAGCGGCCGGGCTGGACGGGTCGGTTCCGAGGCGCTGCCCGCAGCCCGGGCCGCTCCCCAGGCTCTGCAGCACAGGAAAGCACCTACTTCCCAGTATTTGCCCAAACCACTCGTCCCGAGATGAACGCCTCCGAAGCCCCTTCCCTCGGTGCAGCCCCTCGGAGGGTGCCAGGGCAGAGCCCCCGGCCCCTCAGCCCGGCCCGCTGCCCTCCTACCCGCTCGCTTCCCTGCCCTCCTACCCGCTCGCTTCCCTGCCCTCCTACCCGCTCGCTTCCCTGCCCTCCTACCCGCTCGCTTCCCTGCCCTCCTACCCGCTCGCTTCCCTGCCCTCCTACCCGCTCGCTTCCCTGCCCTCCTACCCGCTCGCTTCCCTGCCCTCCTACCCGCTCGCCTCCCCGCCCTCCTACCCGCTCGCCT